CTCTCTCTCTCTCTCTCTCTCTCTCTCTCTCTCTCTCTCTCTCTCTCTCTCTCTCTCTCTCTCTCTCCCTCTTTCTCTCTCTCTCTCTTCCTCTCCCTCTCCTTCCGTCTCCCTCCATTCCTTCAAAACTCTTTAAAACCCTAACCCTTCCATCACCCCTTTCCCTCCATGGGCATGTGACTAACCTCTACCCTCACCTGTTACATTGTCAGGGAACGAACGGAAAGGAACTTAATCCTCACTTGGTTGAAAGCGAGGGCAAGGGAAGGGTTGTCGGTCCCTTGTGCCACCAAGAAGGAAAGGATACGGAACTATTGGGAGCATTTGCGAAAACAAAGAGGAGTGCTGATTTTGGACGAGGTTAGTTTGACTCAACAATCCTCCCGGAGCGCATGACTGAGGCGATCGCATGGCTTGCCTGTGGGAAAGGGAAGGCAACTCATAAGGGGAATTGGAGGGCAAAGGCAACTTAGGATTGCGGGAAGGGGCGATGTGTTGACCCCAATGGGGATTGTACTTGGTCATTTGTCTTGTGTGGTCTTGCGCGCGTGAGTAGCTAGGGACGATTTGGACGAGGCTGGACCCACGGATGAGGACTAGGGTGGGAGAGTGGCTAAGGAAGGACTTGGATCCGGCTTGAGCGATGGATGCGGAATGAGTTGAGGTCGGGCGCTTGGGGGGATGGTTGATGCATGGACTTGGTTTGTGTGGAGGTTGCATGGAATGTCTCTCTCATGTGCAATGMGACCCCTGAAAAGACTAAGGGCGGTCTTGGATAGGTGATGCGATGCTAGTGGCTCTCGCAAAAAAATATAGCGGCTAGGGGTCCGGGCGACGCCACCTTACCCCAAGGATGCCGTCGGGGCTGCCCAGAGCCGCTAGGCTTAGTGAAAAGGTGCGTGGCCCAATGGATGGCGCTTGGCCTGCGCACGATAAGAAGATGAGACTTCAATGAACCCCCCTGGACTGCCTGCGTATTGGAAGGAGCAATTGCCTGGTCAGACCTAAGTGGATCAAGAAAACGCCACGAGTGCCCAAAGAGCTACCATCTTGATGCGAGAGCGGAGCTACATCCCCCAATGTAAAGCCCTCTCGCAAAAGGCCCATCCCCATCCATCTCATAGCACTAGGTGGGGGTGCCCCTGCGACGAACGACCCGCGCCCTGAGCGTGAGCGTGGGCGGGTCGAGCCAACTGGGACCCGCAGCGGGGTCGACTTAGGCTCGAAAGTCCTACAAGGTATGGCCCCTACAACGGGCGCCAAACTGTGAGGGCGTGAATCACGACGAGGAGTTCCTTCTCGTTGGAGGGGTAATTCATCTCCGCGGGAAGGAGCTTCTTGCTTGTGAAGGCGGTGGAGCCTCGGGATGAGTGGGCGAGTCCTTGATGGAGGGGGTCTCGGCGGTGTCGCGGGGGAAATGTTGGGACAGTACTGCTCCGATGGCGAAGTCGGAGGCGTCAGTGGTGACATAGAAATGGCGAGTGGGGTCGGCGATCTTGAGGACAGGGGTCGTGGTGATGGTTTGCTTGAGTAAGTCGAAAGCGTGTTGGCGGCGATCGTTCCAATGGAAGGGCTCATCCTTGCGGGTGAGTTCGTGGAGAGGGTAAGAGATCTCGGAAAAGTTGCGAATGAACGGGCGGTAATAGTTGGCAAGGTCGAGGAGGGAACGGAATTGGAGGAGCATCTTGGGTGGGGGGTACTCGACGAGGGTTGTGACCTTCCAGGAGTCCATACGAATGCCTTCAACGGAGGCAATATGGCCGAGGTATTCGACGCTCGAAGCGGCAAACGTACATTTGCTGAGCTTGGCGTAGAATTTTTGCTCTCGGAGGATCGAGAGGACTTGGCGGAGGTGCTGAAGGTGGGACTCGAAGGTGGGGCTGAAGACAAGGATGTCATCAAGGTAGACGACGACATAGACTTCGAGGAGGTTGCGGAAGATGTGGTTCCTGGTAGATTGGAAGGTAGCGGGGGCATTGGTGAGTCCGAATGGCATCACGAGGAACTCGTAGTGCCCGAACCGAGAGCGGAAGGCGGTCTTGTGGGTGTCCTCCTCGCAGATACGGATCTGGTGGAAGCCACTGCGAAGGTCGATCTTGGTAAAGTACTTGGCTCCACGGAGACGATAAAGGAGCAAAGAAATCCGAGGTAGGGGGTACTTGTTCTTGATCGTGATCCGGTTCATCTGTGCACATGCGGAGTTCAAGTTCCACCTTTCTTGACGAAAAGGCAACTGGTTCCGAAGGGGGATGAGCCTGGCTTAATGAATCCTTTTTCAAGGAGTTCACCGAGTTGCCGCTTCATTTCTTCGGCTTCGGGGACAGAGAGTTGGTATGGAGGGCGGCAAGGTGGAGAATGTCCGGGTTCCAAATCGATGGTATGCGATACGCCACGATCCGGAGGTAGTTCGGCGGGTAATGACTCGGGAAAGACGTCCCTGAACTCGTCGAGGATTGAGGTATGGCGGGGKTGGRGGGGGGGGSKTGRTYGGGKTTGTYCGTCGGGRGKAAGTCCTTGGGACTTTCACGATCAAGGACAAGACAGTAGTAGGCGGAGTCGGGGTTTAGGCGRGCCATGTGGAGGAATTGGTGCGGGGTGACAGAGCCTTGGGAGGTCGGATATGGGAGATAGGGGATGTCGATGGTTGTGTCGGGGGGGTTGGTGAGGCGAAGGAAGTTGCGGTGGAATGCATATGGCATGTAGCGGTCTAGCCACGGGGTTCCTAAGACGATGTCGCACATCAAGTGCATGACATCAAACGAGACCTAACTGCGGAGGGTTCTGACGGTCATGGTGGTATCGGGAACCATGCGGTCTACTACGACGGCGGTGTCTTCGTCCCCTAGGCGAATCGTGATCGGGGAGTCATAACCGGTATAGGTAAGACCAACTTTGCGGACACACGCGTCGGTGATGAAGTTACCGATGGCTCCAATGTCGAGGAGGGCCCGAAACTTAGTTGCAGATGAACCAAGGGTGGCAGCGATGAATTTGAGGTGGAAACGAGATGAGTTGGCGGTGGAGATGATGGTGTTGAGGCGGCGTTGTTCGTTGCCTARGCGGACAAGCCGATCGTGTCGGGCTTGTTCCTCAACAACATCGGAGAAGGTGATAGTGGATGGGTTTGGAAGAAGGGTAGAGGAGCATGAGGCAGTGGGAGGCGTTTGCGACGCCTGCGAGTCGTCCGGTGGAGGGGGCGTCGCCGGAGAAGGGGAAGACAGACGAATTGTCGATGCCAGATGGGCCATCAGTGGGACGGAGGACGTCACCGATGGGTGGGCCAACAGACGCGATGTCAATACCGGGCCAGTGTCCTGGGGACTGTGTTCATGATGAAGAGGGACCCGCGCTTGCCAAGGGCGGTGATGCGGAGGTTGCGGGTCGAGTGGAGGCGGACTGGCGGGTGAATCCCGCGGCGTTGGGGCAGTTGGTTTGTTGGTGCCCCAATTGGCGACAACGGAAGCAACCCCCTTTTGCTTGGAGGTAGGTGCGCTCCTCGGGGGCGAGTTTCTTGAGGCGGGAGGGTAAGGTGGATGAGGGTGGTCGGGAGCTGTGATCTCTACGCTCCATTCTCATGAATTGGACGACATCGAGTTCCTCGGAAGTGAGGGATGAAAAGTCGAGTGAATCGGAAGATGCGTCGGGGTCAGGTAAGGTGAACTCGTCCGAGGAAGTGATGGAGGTGGTGTCTTCGGGGGTGGTGGAAAAAGCGGGTACAGGAGGTGCCGGGCGGGGGCTGGTGGTGGGGGTGGAGGAGTCGATCGTGATGAAGCATGCGAGAGAGGAGGTCAGCAAGGGGCATGTCGGGTTCGTGGGCAAGGGCGGTTGCAAGGTCTTTGTGGCATACTCGTTTGATGCGGGAGATGAACGCAAAGTCAGGAATGACGGTGTGGGGGAGGTGGTGGTGGAGGGAGCGGACATATTGGACGAAGCGGTCCGTGGGACCGGTCTGGCGGAGGTGGCAGAATTGTTCAAGGTAGTCGTCAACAGTTTTCTGGGGGCGGAAGGTGGCAGTGAGAAGGTTGGCCCATCGGAGGAAGGTGTGACGTGGTCGTCCGGAGGCTCGGCGGTTGCTARCTTCAGCCATCCACCATTTGGCTGCATTGTCGAGGAGGCGGGAGGTGTCAATGGGGAGCCAGCGGGCAAGGGGCATGTGGTGGAGSTGAAAAGAGTTCTGAAGCTGGGTTAGGAAGAGGAAAACGTCCTCGTGGGGGAGGCCGGAGAAGGACATGATTTCGCCAGATCGGAAGGAACGGGGGATTTCCCCATGGCGGTGAACGATCTGCGCGAGGGTGTCGAAGCTGAGGTTATCCGGGGTGGTGTCGTAGCAGGTGTGGTCGATTTGGTTGTTGTCCTCAAGGAGGTAGTTGGTGGGGAGTTGTGGCATTGCGGGGTAAACCTCGGAGGTGACTTGGGAATAGGTGGGACGGATGGTGGGGATGGTGGAGGTGGTCATAATGGGTTGGGAGAGGGTTTGGGAGTGCGGGGGGGGAAGAGGGGTGACGTGGATGGGCGAGGAATGAGGCGGTGTGCTAGATGCGCCAGATGAGGGAGGAGGTGGAGGGAACGGAACGGTGGTGGAGGTTGAAGGGTTGGTGGATGTGGTGGTAGAGGTGGCAGGAGTGGAGGAGGTCGGCGGGGGGGTGTTGCTGGAGGCGGCTGTGGAGGAGGGAGTGGCTTGCGCTGTGGAGGATGGAGTGGTTTGCGTTGTGGAGGGGGGAGTGGTTTGTGCGGTGGTGACGACCGTGATGGAGGGGATGGTCCCTTCGATCGTGGTGACGCGGTCGCATATGGACGACATGTTGGCCTTTATGTCGTCGAGAGAGGCGGTGACGGAGGTTCGAAGGGTGTTGAGTGCATGGAGGATGGCGGAGAGGTCGGGGATGGCGGTGTTTGTTGGTGGTTGTTCACCTGCGAGGTTGCGGGCGATGCTATTGACAGAGTCGGTGCGGATGTCAGACATGTTGATGGAGGATGCGGCCATGTCGGGGAAAGAGGGGGTGGAGGACGTGGCCTGAACAGGTGTGGAGGATGCAGCAGCAGAAGTGGCGGCGGCGGCGGCGACACGTTGGGAGTTCTTGGTTTGGCATGGTGGCATGTAGAGGTGGGGGGGGCAATCCCTTATTTATTTATCAATAAATTCAATATAAAGATAATCGCCAAGATTGTTTTTTTTTTTTTTTTTTTTGGAAAGTAGGGAATTAATATTGAATAAATAAATTTATTCCGATTGGAATTTTATTTATTCAAAATTAATTTGGGTAGATCAAAATTTTGAAGGGTTCGAAGGAGAGATTTACAAATTCGTTGTTCAAAATATTGGTATAATAATAATAATAATAATAATAATAATAATAATAATAATAATAATAATAAATTTGAATTTATTTCAAAATTTATTTACGTGAAATTTCAAAATATCTTCGAATTATAGAAAAAGAATTAGGAGGTGGAATTTTAAATTTTTTTGTTGAAATTAAAAAAAATAATCATTAATTCCAAAGGAAGGGATTAATTCCGAACGTGAATTTAAAGAAATGTCGGCAGAGAAAAGAATTTTTGAGACTATTTCGTAAAAATAAGTAATTAATTTGAAAGTTCAAAATGTGAAATCAAAATTTCGAAGAAGGGCTAATTATGAGTTGCAAAAGGATTCCAAGGAATTTGGAAAGAAATTAAGGGTATTCCAAAAAGAGATGAATTAATGCTAAAGTATTCGAGAAATTTTGAAAAAGAAAAAGATACTTCAAAGAAAAAGAATTACTTAATTTCAATATATTTCAAAGAAATTTTGAAAAGAAGTAATGAGTTCAAAAGTATTTTTAAATTCAAAATTTCGAGAAAGAACAAATTAGTTAATGCAAAAGGGAAGTTCAAAAGGAAAATTTCAAACGGAAAAGATTTTCAAAGAAATTTGTGAAAAGGGTGATTTAATTCGAAAGTATTTTGAAAAGATTTTGTGGAACGAACGAATTATTTGGGACGTATTTTCGAAAATAGTACAAACGTAATTTGAAAAAGAAATAAATTCTAAAAAAAATAATTTCAATCGTGAAATTTCGAAAAGGGACTAATCGTTTTTAAAGGTAGACAAGGGCACCTGTTGCGGCTTCGCCCGCAAAAAAGAAGGG